AACTTAGTGAAAGTAACGTGTTGTTTTATGTAACATTTGTTATATGAATTTTGTAGAAAATCTTTTAAAAAGAGAACATATGAGAGTAAAAACCACAGATGCAGAAGGGGAAGAGGAAGAGATTGATTTCACTGGAGCCATCAAGGTCCTATATACAATTTTGATGAAGTACAAAGATTGTTCCAAGAAATAGAACCAAGCTTGAAGGGGTTTTTTGACCAACTCTATTTTAGCAGCTCGGCCATTTGAATGTAATGAACAAATAATGGACCATATGAAGAGATTAATGGTAGTGTTCATGTGTTATCTTCTTGTTTAAAAGTTTACAGAGAATTGAATGACGTGTAACAAACAATTTTTTCGTAGAACAATTTTTTTGATTGCTTGATAAAGATGTAAATTGAAAAAAACGAAAATTGCATTATTTAAAGGACATCCTCATCATCACCAAACTGATTTATCGTGATTCAACAACAAAGAAATTTTTTGAAAATTTAAGTGATAAAAATAGAAAACAAAATTAAAACTTACGAAAATATGTACCAAAACCTGTCTTATGTGGTATGTAAAGGTCGTTCTAAGTACTAATACTATGTTGTTTCAACTCTGACACTAAAAATAGCTCAAGCATATTATTACTATTATTATTATGCGTAGTTCTTAGTTAACTTCAAAGTCAAAAATTCGTAAAAAAAAAATCAACTCACATGTATGTAAAGACAATTTTGATTTTTTGCATTTTATGTAATGTAATAATAAAAGAATGGTTTAATTTGTAGAAAAGAAGAGGCATTTTTATTTTGAAAGAAAAAAATAGGTTGCTTATTTAAATAATTCAAATTATAAGATTTGTAAACTTCCATGATAATTATTCTTGAATTATTGCAATATACATACAATGATATAATAATTCTTTATTCATCCTTGATATTTATCATTATCATTATTGCTGCTTGTATCAAGTGTTTTTATTCGTATCAAGCATTTTTACTTACGTCAAGGGCTTTTACTTTAGTCAAATCGTCAAAATGGCCCTGTGAGAAACTCCCTTTAGTCAATACTTTAGTTACGTCAATGGTTAAAGTCAAAAGTTTCGTCATACATTATTATCCTAAAATAGTTGATGTTAAATATCAAAAAATTAGCATTAATAACCAATCTTATTGTTATTATTATAAAGGGAATATATAAAAATAATTTGAATCTTGGAAAAAGTTTTACAATGCTTCATTTGATAGAGGAATTTGGAGGTGTATTAAATTAGTAACAAAAATATATATTTTGATTTTTCATAAAACACCATTGTTGACCATTATTACCATTGTTGCGCCTGATAATTCGAATAATAATTTTTTTTCTTGTATTATGGATTAAGTAATTTTAATTTATATACAATAATGCACAAATTTCCCACAAACATATATGTAGTAATTATAAGAGAATTTGTAATTTGCTTTTTTATACACATTCGCAAGTTTTGTACGTTAAATATTTTTAATCATATGAACCACCACTAGACCTTATTAATACATGCTTGATATCTTTTCTTTGTATATATTCAGCGTTGATCACTTTCTAGAATTGTTAATTTGGCTTTTTTTTATATTATCTAATTTAATAATATCCTCAGGACCTTCTGTTTAGCAAAATGGACTTTTTACGATCTCTTTGACAGACCGAACAACTAATTTCCAATTTTGAAATATAATTCACATACAGCGTATACAAATTAGACATTTTCTCAACATGTTATGACAAGGCCATCCTTCCTTTCCTATCTAGTAAAGTTTCGTCATAAACTCTTTATAAAATGTTTAAATACCATTCGTTGCTGTTGCTATTATCAAATATGTTGTGGAAATATCAACTGAAAATGAATTCTATATTATCAAGACATCTGCAATTTGATTTCGTCTCATTAAATATGAGTTCAAGATTTAAACCTCCATGTACTCATGTACTATACTTGTTATTGATCAATCCACAATATTCAAACTTCCATTGTTTTTTCTTATTATTTATTTAACTCATACAAATAAATTGAAGTTACATCATCTATAACATAGAAATAGTTATAAGCACGTCTAGAAAATGTAATTTTTTACTGTTCTCAGAACAGTGGATAATTTTCTGTATGTTAAATTGTTACCTTACAGTACACTAAAAAAAGGTTTATTCTCCCTATTTTTATTTGTTTTTCTTACCATACTGCTACTAATATTAATATAATATTTTTCCTCAAAACAGTTTTTTGGGGCCTAAGGCACAAGTTCATGTTGAACATTAATACATAAATCACGGTTGTAATAATTATGATGCTGAGCTAGCAGGTATTAGTATTTTTAGAATTTTTAGATCACGTAATTGGTGAATAAGTAGTTTTTGTTCTATTTTATTTTAGTTGTCAAAAAGCCTATACATTTTTAATGATTGACTAATTATGATAATATTATACTAATAAAATTATTCACACATTTTTTTCTAAAATAAATATGTATACATATATTTTTTATGTACAAAAAATGAAATGAAAAATGCAAATGCAAAAAATGATGCTATTTTTTTTTTTGATTTTTTTGATTTGTTGTGTGTGTGTGTTGTATGTATAATTGAATGTTGTGATAAAATATGAAAGCAAAATTATATATATATATAAAATGAAAAATTAATAATAATTATAATTATTTTTATTAAAGAGCAATACCGGTTTGCTCATAAACACTATTATTAGTACTACTATACTGAGAATCTTGATCAATATCGTGATTACTATTATCTATTAAACTTTCATCTTGATTAACATTACTATGAAGACCATAATAATCACTATCTCGTTGCTGTTGTTCGTTCTCATATTCTTCAACAAATGCAGGTGTCGGCGGAACAACTTCCACAATTGGTGGGACATTACTGTCTTGATTTTCTTCAGGATAAACTGATAATAATACATCAATATGGTTTACACTATCATCAACATCACCAAAACTGTCACCATCATAAATAAATTCTGACGGCGTTGGTTTTGGTGGTGGCGTGCTATTATTAAGTGTTGAAGATGATGATAACGATGACATAGATGAATCATTATGTATTGTGATACTTATATCAGGCCTGAGTCTATTATCATTGCCATCTTCTTGATCATCTTCTAAAGTTTTATAAATTGATTTAAGATATGCTGGTGCAGGTTTTAATAAATACTGATTTTTATTAATATCATCATCATTATTATCAATTTTATCGTTGTTATATATTAATTCATCATTAAAATCTTCATCATCACCCGATTTTGTATCTAATCCATCGATTCTAATTCTTATGCCACTAGTAAGATCAAATTCTGCTTTTTCGGTTGGTGTTTTATGACCAGAAAGGAAGTTCATTATTTTATTACCCATGTTGTTATGGGTTGGTTCAGGTGGCATAAGATTATTGTTGGCATTATTATTGCTGCTACTTAAATGATTTGAATGATATGAATGATTTGAATGATTTGAATGATATGAATTATTTATATTTGGTGATTGTGGAGATCTTGGGGATCTTGGGGATGATCCAATACGTGAATTGGTTGTATTACTACAAATTGGGAAAAAATAAATTAGAATTATATATAAAGTGAAATAATTAACACAAAAAATAATTAAACTTACAAGCTCCTCAAAGTACTGGTAGTACCATTAGTAGAGGTTTTATCGTCCAGTTCAAAATTAATACAACATCCACACACCAAATCTAATTTCAATTTCCTGGCCCATCTTAAATATGCTTGCTTTGCATCACGTCCAGTACCAAAAAAAGCGAATAGGATTAAGCCGGTCAATGGTTTAACATAATCAATAAATGACACGCCATTGTCGAATTTTTTGATCACAAAGAAATCCTTATGTATTTCAGCAAAATCATAAGGTACTAACGCTTGTATATTCGAGAAAAATGTTAGACAGGCTGCTGGAAATGCAATTATCAAGAATGTTATGCAGAAAAGCACCAATCGATAAAATTTTGATATGTTTAAACCAGACTTGGAATATTTTAACAGGCTTTGTATTTCTAGTCCTTTTTTAATGATAGTATAGGCAGTTCGTGCTATAAAATAAATAATTATTTATTAATTTTTTTTACATGTAAAAAAGGTTTTTATTTTGAAAGAAAATTATAACAATATTTACCTGCAAAATAACATCCAGTACCAGATATTATTAAAGGCCACATTGCATCTACGACAATATATACCCAAGTATTACTCTCCTGTATAGAACATCCAAGAATAGGTCTGAGTCCATAAATAGATGTAATGTTCAAATAATTAAACGCAACAAGTATGAATGGGAAAACGATCGACAGAAAAAAATGTATTAATATTTGACGTCTCCTGACATTTTCAGTCAATAATGTTGGCTTAACAACATAATTGTGTAGCGTGTGTATCATACACACAGCCGAAGCCATAATACCAAAATGTGCAGCATTATACAATGGCGTAGCTATGTAACAGTATACTGGAGCTTTATCGTCCAAATCGTTCGCCCATAATATGGAATTGATGAAAATTATCATGTTTGTGAGCAGCACCCAGAATGTCATAAATATCGCACCCCAATTTCTTGTTTGTATGTGAATGATACTGGGAACTATACATAAGATAATTGCTACAAACGCAGAAGCTGTGAAAACGTAATCCGGCATTTTTTTAAATTATTCTATATTTATAATTACAAATACAATTATTATTATTATTATTATTTATTAGTTAATTTGGGAAAGAATGTGTTTTTTTTTATTTGTAAGGAAGAGGGAAAAAAGAATGTAATTTGTAAGTTATAATGTATTATATCAGATGATTGAATCTCCGACTTGGATTTTTTCAAGTTCTCGAAACTTTTTTTTCTCTTGAGAAAAAATTCTATCTAAAGAATGTTTTAATCAAATATAAATGTATTTTTGGAAACGTTGATGTTGATGTTGATTCAGATTAGTATTAAAATGTTGATGATAATGATGATGCAAATTAAAATGCTGATATGATGATATGATGGTGATGATATAGTTAGTCGGAGATTCAAGCACCTAAAAAATTGGTTAATTAATATAAAATTAATTAATGAGAAAAAATGAAAATTGAAGAAATAAAAAAGACGTTTTTAATTGTTATTGTATTGTTTTTTCTTTTCTTTTTCTACTTCTGATGGCATTCAACCATTCGAAGAAAGAAAAGGCAAACAACAATTTTCAACGAGAAGAAAAAAATGAAAAGAGAGTGAGAGAAATTTATTTGAATTCAAATAAGAATTCCCATTAATTACCTGTTAAGAATAATAATTATGACGATAAATTATAAATGACGAATAAGTTAAATTAAAAACCCAATTTATATAAATTATTTCAATAGGAAATCTTGTATTCCCTTTTTATGTGCATATTACATCGACATGTATTATGCGGGCTATTAAGAAAACAATTAAAAATTTTTCTTTCTTTGATAATCTCTCTATTTATCTTTTGATGTTTTTCGTATAACCTTGGCATATATAACGCCGATCGATCCTTGTTGTGTTAAAAATAGCAATATAGTGTTGGACTCAATTTTAAATTTACTTGAAATACTGATTTGGAAATCCCTTGTTTTTATTTTTCATTCATTTTTTTGGAACGTGACATTGTTATGTTAATCCGATACCACTAAAGTTCAGTGAAGAAACGTTACACACCAGTAATATTCTTTCAAATTTGTACTAGTTCCACAACCTTCCTAACCGTGTTTGTGTGTATCCGTTAATTAAAATTAATCGGTAAACGAACGAATTGATTAATTTAGACAATAATTTGGTCATACATATTATACACTAATCATGAGAATGTAAGTAATTGTAACTATTACCACTTCAACCTCTTCTTCATATTTTGACAATATCTAATGTGTACATTGTATATAATTTGTTCCCAATTGGTTTTTACTTGTAAAAGAAATTCCAACCTCTTTGTATTTTAAATTTTATTTATTATGGGTACTAGCAGTTAACAGTTAGCACACAACACAAATACAAACAAACAATTTAATATTAAATGTTTATATACTAGCGAAAGGAAAAAATATATACCCTTTGCCAAAACGAAATTCGAATTATTTTCATAATAATAATATCGTGCTGTTAAACATAAAAAGCAATTGAAATTAACATATGGTATATTGCTTGATGTAAATCAATTCAAAATATTATGTAAATTTTTAAAAAAATAATTTTTTTTATTCGTCCTTGGAGGAAATGGGATTATAACCACCAACCAATTTTTTTTTATAACCATATTACTATGACATTCATTTATCCTCAAAATATATCACTTGAGCACAAGGAGAACTATTTGTTCTTGGATCACTCGATATTAATATTATGATATTGAAGAAGTTTCTCAATCGTCAAAATCATTCTTGTTCTACATTGAAAATATTTCTAAAGTCATCCATCATCGGATTTTTAGTACTTTGAAAAATAAACCCAGTTCTGTTGAAACCATTTTCCCTCTATGCAATAAATAACTTTTAGAAATTGCAACTTCTTTTTTGAGCATATAAAATGTCTCGTGATTCACCTCGATTGAATGAATTAAATTTGAATATACATTTTCTTTTTCAAACCGTCTTCAGTCTTTTTTGTCCAATCATCAGATAAAGCAAGCAAAATGGATAAATCATTTTGCTTTTAAAATATTGGCCATCCCAACTCTAGTCTTTTATATCATAATAGTCATAATATCCTTATTGTTGGAATTAATAAGGTTGTTAAATAACGAGTTTATGATAATTCCAAAGGGGGGTTTTTTTTTTAAAAAAAACGAAATTATAGGATTCAAAGATACAAGTGAGTTATTTTTCCACGTATTTAGATGTGACAGAAATTTTTCGATCAGAGAAAAATACAAATGATATATATAATTAATTAGTAAATTTATTATTTTTTATTTAATTTGTCAGTTATTTTTTAGATTGATTTGATTTGATCTCAACTTTTCTTTTATTAAATTCACGATGTAATGTTAAAGCTTTTTCAATTGATTTAATTAATGGTCTAAGAATCTAATAACGGAATAAAGTGCCGACAATAAATAAATACATTTATTATTATTTTAAGAATGAAGAATAAAATAAATACCTGTTTTAGATTTTGTGAAATTTCCATTGATTGTTTTTTTCCATTAATATTGCTACTACTACTACCACCACTACCAACACCACCACCACCACTGCTATTAAGATTAAGATTAAGATTATTAAGGTTATTAATCACTTTTTTTTGAAGCTTTAATGAACCACCACCACCACCATTACTAACGCTATTGGCACCATTAACATTTAATTTGGTTTGGGATTGCTGAAATTTTTGCAACTCATCATCATCTAGTTGAATTTCTAGTAGTTTACGTATTTTCGTCAATGTAGTTTTTAACTGTTCCACCATTCTTTTATTCTTTTCCATTTTTTCTTTAACATTAGAACCATAACTTGCCCAGAAATGTCTTAGGAATTCATTCCCCATTAATTGTATTAATTTGACCTCTTTTTCAAACTTTGACGGCAGATCATCTGATGATATTGGAATTGTGATTAGGATTAAAGGATTAGAATTTATTATTATTATTATTATTATTATTATTATTATTATTATTAAAACTTGCCTATTTTATGATTGGCTTCTCGATTACGTTGTTGTTTTTGCTTTATTATTTCAAAAGATTTAATATAAAAATCTTTGCATGCGTTTCCAAGAGATTCCTAATTTAGTGAATAATTATTTTTATGATTAAAAAACAAACAAATATTCATTTTTAAAAATCACTATTACTGCTATCGTATGCCATATAATTAGTAATTAATTGGATTATATATACTAACATTATTTTGTACGTCTTTCAACATATCCAAATTCCATCCTGTAACATCATTTTTGAGAGTTTCAATTAATTCATTTAAATTCTAGAAGAAAAAATTTTATTTTATTTAATGTAGAAACAATAAAAATAATAAAATCATATATTATTAGGGACATATACATACACGAGTAGAATTTAATAAATCAATCGCTTGACTAGTTTCGGTTAATTGGTTTGCAAAATATTCACGTTGATCTCTAATATCAAGTAATATTTGTTGATTAGATTGTTCATCGCACAAATCTTCTAATAGTAACTCGTTTATATAATCCTCTTTCTATCCAAATATACCATAAATGAATATATAAAAACAAACAATTTTGGTTTTCTTTTATAAATAAATAAATTTGCATGATTAAAATACCTTTTTCTCCATATAATTTTTCTCTTTTTTCTCTTTTTCCCTATTAAAGAAGAATTTTTTTAAATATTTATTTGTGAAATATTATTGCTATTATTATATATATATATATATATATATTATTCTATTCATTCCATATTTTTTCATATCCATTCATTCATTTCTTATTTTCTTTTCTCGACAAATGTATATCATATTACCTTGCTGGTGCTTCTAGTATTCTTTCTGAATGTCTATTGTTTCGTCTTAACAATGATAAAACCTTACTTTGACTTGGTCTCATAGTAATATCTGGCATCGGTTCCAGCTAATTATTATTATCAAAGAATATATGATGTCATATAATATTTTAATAATATATAACTTGTAATAGATCAAATTACCAAACATTAAAATATTAACTAACATCTATATGGTCTTCTTGGGTTGCGCTTAAATCTCTTAACATGCTTATTTTTAATTTTTTTCTTACATGTTCAGACTCTTGATTAAGATCTATCATTAATTATTGAAAAATAATCAAAAGACAAATTAATCATATATATTTTGAAATTTACTATCAAAAAAAAAAAAAAAGACAATTGAAAATTTTTTTTCTCTTTTCTATTATAATCAGTTAACCTTTTTCAGTTTCAATCCAACATTTGTCAAATATTTCATCTCTTTGTGAACCATTTGATGTGACTGCTTTATTACGATCATTGAATTTTGATTGTACATATCGTTTCCAAAATTCTTGTTCTGATAGCTATTATTTTTAATTTCAATATAATACCAGCAATAATAACAATTATAGTTAGATATATATAATTTTATACAAAAAAAAAAAAAAAAACCAGTACAATAATTATAGATTAACTACCTTTTCAGGAACATAAAGTTTATAAGCAGCTTCTACACGTGGATACTCATCAAATATCTCACGGATAAGTTGAGGAGTTATATTAATTTTAGCCTCACCGCCATCTTCAGTCACAGGTCGTAAGTGAGGCATTGTAGAGGAACGACCTCTTTGTTGGTTCATACGTGAATCTTGATCACGTAATAGATCCTGAACCATATCAACCAATCACATATTTGATTTTTTTTTCAAGTTAATAAAAAAATTTTTGCTAAAAAACATTTTTTTTATTTTTAAATTTTTTTTTCTATATTTAATGTGACATACGCAAATTCATAGTATGGAAATAAAACCATACTTTTCTCAACTCCCAGAATTCCTCTTCATTGATACATTTTTGTTCTACTACAAGAGTTTTATGCTGATCAGCTAAAGCGTTATCTCTAAGCAGTAATTGTTTTCGTAATTCAATATCTTTACTGGTAAGTTGTGGTTTTCTAATCGATATCGATGATGATGATGATGGTGATGATGATGATGGAGGCGTGGTGATGATTC